CCCGTTCTTGTACTGGATCAGGAAGTGGTCAAACTGGCCCTCGGGGACCGTCCAGGAGAGGTGCAGGGAGTTGGGAGTGGCATCTGTGACAGCCAACTCCCCCAGGCGGGGCTTGATGGGAGGTCTGGGGGTCATGGTGGGAGGCTCTGAAGGCTTGTCCTTCTCCCCTGAATACAAACAGGGTGAGAGAGAAGGACCTGAAGGAGGGGCAGGATGTCCCAGGAGACTCTGCCCCTCTGGTCTCTCCTAGCCACCTGGAAGGAAGCGAAGTTCCTCGCTCACCTGTCAGGAACTCAACCTGGGCCGGGCCCACACGCCGCTGGCCATGGAAACCGTACAGGTTCACCAGGTATCTGTGTTTGGATTCCAGGCCAGAGAGGGTGATGTCGTTCCGGTCACCCTCCACAGGGACTATTTGCAGTTGCCCAGCCTCGTCTGTGTACTGGACCTCAAAGGAATCCACTTCTCCATCAGTCACCATCCAGGAGAGACGCACGGTGTGTGGTGTGGTCTCCTCCACGGTTAACGCCCCTAGGTGGGGCTCGGGCGCTGGAGGGCTTGGGGGCCAGATGCTGCCTTTGGTTTCATCCCTGGCTGCTGGTTCAGAGAGACAAGTAGAGATGGGTGATGGGTCTGACCTGGCATCAAGTCTCTCCAGAGGAGGAAAAGAGGGTAAGTTGAGAGGTCAGTGATAAAAGGGACCCACTGTTGATACAGGGATGAACTTGAAAGGCATCACACAACGTGCAAGAAGACAAACACAAGACCGTGCACACATGCTTCAGTGAAATGAAATGCTAGAACAGCCCCAGCTGCAGTGGGTGGAGAGCAGTCAAGGAGCTGACTGCTAGGTGCACCAGGAACTTTTGGGGTGTACGGAAACATTTTACATCTCAGTCATGTAATGGTTTCGTGAGTTACACATTAGCCATAGCTCTTAGTATGCATGAACTGATCATGTTAAATATGTCTGACAAAGCTGATCCCTCCCCCTAAATGAACGCAGAGAAGCCCCGGAGGGCAGACGCAGGTAGGAGGCACACTGCCCGCCGTCGCCACACTCACCAGTCACAGCGGTGGCGGAGATGGGACCCACACGCTTGTCCTGGTAAAGCCCGTACAGGAGCAGCTGGTACCTGTGGTTGGGGTCCAGGCCCGAGATGCTGACCTCTCTGCGGCTGCCCTCCACGGGCACCACCTGGGGCTGCCCATCCCTGTCCTTGTACTGGACCACAAAAGAGTCAAACTGGCCCTCGGGGACTGTCCACAGGAGGCGCACAGAGTCCGATGTCACACCGGTCACCTGTAGTTCCTCCCCCAGGTGAGGCTTAGTTCCAGCACCGTCCACCGTCCACTTCTCTGAGATGGAGACACACAGGGGAAAGGAATGAGCTTTTCCGGAAGGGTGGAGACTTCGCAGGGAAGGATGGACAGAGAGAGCTCTGGGGACAGGGCTGTGTGGTGGCTGGGTGTGCAGGGCTGGTGCCAACGGCTTGTGCAGCGACAAGCACTGCTTGTCCCAGCTGGAGAAGCTGGGCCCAAATACCAGTCCTAACGGCAGCCAACACATGTGGTGCCCTGACAGGGAAATGGATGCCTTCCCAGAGGGCCTCCAGGAGCAGAGCTGGGCCCTAGGGATGCGCTCACTGGTGGCGCCCTCTGCCTTGAGGGGGCCATGGCGCTTCTTGCCCCAGAGGCTGTAGAGGAGGAATCTGTACTTGTGGTCAGCTTCCAGAGGGGTGATGATGACTGAGCGCTCTTGGCCGTCCACAGGCACCACCCGGGGCCAGTCCCTATCTTTGAACTGGACCGCAAAGGAGTCAAAGTGGCCCTCCGGGACCATCCGTAAGAGGCGCAGAGAGTCTGGGGTGGGGTCTGTCACCCACAACTCCCCAAGGCGGGGTGGGGCCCCTGGTCTGGCATCTTCTCTGGCAGCTGACAAAGAGGAAAGGTTCTTGTGTTTATTTTTTCCAAAATGACTCGTTGGCTGCCTCCCTCCGGAGCTGGACAAACCCCAAATATTTCCATTACCCTCGTGTCCCTGCCACCATGTCCAGCTGGCCCAGGCCTTGCTCCACTAGGCTAGCTGAGGAGGGGTCTTCTACCCTGAGGCTGGGGAAGGAGAGTCCCAGAGGAGAATTCTCTGGGGACAGAGACAATTCCCAAAGGAGCTTCTCTGGGAAAGATTGCCCGGATTTCCTAGCTCCCCACTTGTCTTACTGTTCCTGCTGCCCGACTCTCCCACCTGCCGGAGACGATTTCCTTATGGGGCTGTAGCTTACCACAGACTTGCTCTGGTTACCGTTATTATCAGGGAGTGCCCTTCTCTGATCTCACAGGGGAAATAAAACCCCAGGGGCCTGGGGTACCAGCAGGGGTGCAGGATCTTGGAAGGGGGCAGGCAACAGGAAGAGGGGCAAGGTGTTAGAAAGGAGGTGACCCCCACGGGACCTGGTAGAGGAGTGAGAGCTGCCTGTGTGTGGGAGGAGAATGAAGCAGGGGAGCTCAGACGGGGAAGAATCTGGTGTCTGCCCAAGAAGCCATCCCAAGGTCTGAGAAGGAGCTGGCCTGCTGCCTTTCTGGACAGCAAGGGCGCTGACGGCATTGTTATTGCGAGAGTTTTCTGGCAATAGGGAGCCCCCAGGGGCAGGGGAGGGCCTGGACCAAACCCCAGGAAAGGGGTACAGCTGGCCTAGGCCCAACAGGGCCTGCCTGAGCAGCCAGCTCTGGGCTCCTCTGGTCCCAGTTTCTGAGATGTAAGGAGGAGGGCAAAGGATGAAGGGGACATTGTGGGGCAGGATATCTGGGACCTGATGGGCCCGTGGGGTAAGGAGCTGGGTGAGAGTTGGATGGGAGCTCAGGAGTGATGGCTACTTGGGGCTAAAGACTCACAAGGCTCGGGGGGGGGGGGGGTCCTGGCTCCCTTTACCCCCTTGTCCAGCACCCCTAGATTCCCATATTCTATTTTCCAGGAAGACACCTGAAGGGGCATTTCCCCATTTATGGGAATAGAAATGACAATGGAGAGCAGTCTGCAGGGGAGCTCTCAGGTTCTGGGGTGGGGTGGGCATCCGGGGTGAGCTAAGGATGTCTCAAATGAAACGCAAGTGGTGGGCAATGGGGAGACCTAGCAGATGGGTGAGGAGATCAGGCTTAGTGGTAGGGGTGGGAAGCTGACAGCGTATTGGCGTGAGGGGGTCTTCTCACCTGTCTTTGCCTCCACAGAAACTGGGCCACGTCGTTTTCCATCATGAATCCCAAACAGCAGGAACTTGTATTTCTTATCGGGCTCCAGGCTAGGGATGGTGACCTCGCGCTGGTCCCAGGCCACAGGCACCACCTGGGGCTGCCCGGCCCTGTCCTTGTACTGGACCACGAAGGAGTCGAATTCACCCTCCAGGACCGTCCAGGACAGGCCCACGGAGTCCGGGGTCATATCTGTCACTGTCAGCTCCCCCAGGCGTGGCTCCAGAGGGGGTTCAGTGGGTGTGGCAGTGGGGAGAGGAGCTGGGGAGACAGGAAACATGGCTAAGATCTCTGGGGGGGTCTCCTCCCACAGAATTTCTGGGCTCTGGGGCCCCCGGGGCTGGGAACTGAGATGAGTAACACATTTTTGTTTTCACTGTCGTCTAACTGAGATGCAGCATTTCCTTCAACAATGAAAACAGAAGTCCCAGCATTGGAATGTCAGCAGTTCTGTGTCTTTGTCACCAACAGGATCCCAGATGTTTTCTTTTTTTTGCAGTTTTGCAAATGTCTATCTATCTATCTATCTATCTATCTATCTATCTATCTATCTATCTATCTATCTATCTATCTATCTATCTATATGTATATACATGTATAATTTTTACATTATTCTTCATTTTCTGCATTTTTTCATCTTGGTTGTTTCCCCTGTGGACTTCCCACCACCAAGGATACCAGATGTTTCATGTCACTTTAAGCACTATTGCAGAAAGCGATTGCACTAATCACTACTTACAGGTATATAGGTCGACCATTACACTTGTCACTAGGCTCTCTCCAAAAACACACAATATTTTGATTGAGCCCTCCCTGGTGGAGCAGGGATTAAAGTCTCAGCACTACCACCTATCGCCAGCCACTGTGGCAGGGAGCTGACCCACAAGACACAGCAGCCCTCTCCTGTCTTCCGCTGCTCCCCTCAGCAGTGTATATGGGTAGATTCGTCTGTTCTGCTCCCACTCTGTCTCTGGTGAATCCTCTCATTTACGCACTTCTGGCCATTACCCCAGGTCTCATATACATAAATAAATAAATCATATAAAAATATTTTGATAATTGTTGATCAATATCATCAGTTCTTTGTGAGCCTAAGCATTTCACAGATGTTAAAGCATAGCTTAGAGAGGAGTCCATGGTATCACCAAATACCCGGTCACAGAAATGTTGGAAACCTGTGCCAGGAAGCCCTGAGCCCAGGAAGGAGACAGGCCAGGAGCAGTGGCAGCTTCCAGGAGGGAGGACTGGCTGGTTTGAAGGGAAAGCCAGCGCTTGGGCCAGTGGGCTCTGGCCTCTGAGATGAAACTCAAGATGAAACTTGGGTTCCTACACCCAATAAAATCAAAAAAGGGGGTTGGTGGCAGCTGTGTCCAAGTCACAGCAGGGTTGTAAATAGAAAGTGAGGAACAGCTGTGGACACCAGGAGGGAGTGAGACCATAGGCAGCTGGTTTTAGTCAGCTGGAAGGAAGACATTCAGGCCTGGGGCAC